AAACACATCATAGTAAAACCAATACCTTCTCAGCTTCGCATCGAAGCTAAAAGTAATTCAATAATATTAAATTACTTAATTTCTTAAATGCTATTTATTTATTAGTGTTTATTTTTGCAATATAAGATTGATAATTTTATGTAAATTATTAGTTTTTTTTATAAATTAAACATTTATTTAAATTGCATATGATATTCTCTAATGTAATATATTGTACCTGGAAAAACTTTTCTCTAATAATATTTCTTAAATTTGTTTGCCCACTTTGTTTAAAAGTATTATATGGCTTTATAGATTATTGAACGACACTATTAAATAATGAAACAAATAGTCCATTAAAGCAAAAATCATTCATCTGTTGTATCGTCATGCTGGTATAACCGAAATTCAGTTGGTGGCAATTTTATGTTCTCAAAATTAAAATACTATAGTATATCTCCCTTTTACCTTTAAGTATATTTAGAGAAATCTAGGTGACATCGATTATAAAGATTACATTTGAAGGTAATGTCTATAGGTAAATGCATTCCGTAAATTGGTATACATTGAGCAAACAATACGACTAGTATACAGTACAATAGCAAAAGTTTATAAATTGTTTTTATCAACCACTACTAGTACTAAAAACTTTTTCGATATACCTGATTATATTGTTTGATAACTTTGTAAATAGACGATTGATGTACAATGAAAATTAAATATTTGGTTAATATTCAAATGCCTATAATACTTATAAACTTTTTTTTTAAAGTACTAACTTAAAGCTAAGTAATGTCTAACAATTCAAAATTTTATTTCTAAGTCAAAACAATATTTTTATTAAAAACTATTCTGAGTATATTCAAAATATTATGCAAGATGCAGAACAGGACATTAAGTTAAATAGCACCCGCGATATGTATAAGAGAGTGAAAGATTTAAAAGGAGATTTTAAAAAGAAGGAACGGTTTCTTAAGGATGATGATGGAATGTTAATAACTACAGAGAAAGAAATAGCTGAAATATGGAGAAAGTATTTTGACCATCTACTAAACTGTGAGGAACCAACCGAAAAATTTCTCTTTAATATTAGGAACATAAATATACAAGAATGCCCACACCCCTCACTTGAGGAAATTGAAGTACAAGTACAAAGATTAAAAAGTCACAAATCCCTAGGAGAGGATTGTGTTCAAGCGGAACTCTTAAATTATGGAGGAAAAGATGCAATACGATGGATCTGACAAGTCATTAGCAGGGTGTGGACAACAGAAAAACTTCCAGAGGATTGGAAGGTGGCGGTGATGTGCCCAATTCACAAAAAAGGTGATAGACAGGATTGCAACATTTACCGGGAAATATCCTTGCTTAACGTAGCGTATAAAATATTCTCGAATTGTGTCTTAGACAGAATTAAAGAAAAAGTAGAACAAATAATAGGAAACTTTCAAGGAGGGTTTAGAGCTGGTAGATCTACGACGTACCAGATGTTCATAATTAGGCAATTGTTTAAAAAAAAATGGGAGTTTGATAAAGAAATACACACACTTTTCGTGGACTTTAAAAAAGCATATGATAGTATTCATAGAGACAGTCTACTGAATATTATGAAAGAATTTCATTTCCCACAAAAACTGGTCAATCTAATATCGATCAGTGTAATGGAGACCTTGGTAAGGGTTCAAGTGGGAAATTCAATAACTGACCCGGTTAGAGTGAATTCAGGACTAAGACAAGGCGATTCGTTATCGCCGATTCTGTTCAACGTGGTTTTAGAGAGGGTAATTAGGGAAATGAAAATTGAACCTCATGAAGGTATTAGACTACAAGACACGGCGATAGGTATACTTGTTTATGTGGATGATATAGTGTTGATGGAAGAATCTGAAGATAGATTGAAGATATTATTTAGTAGATTGTATAAAGCAGCATCAAAAGTAGGACTATACGTAAACGAACAAAAAACGGAGTATATGATCTTGAGTAGACGAGAGCTACCTTTTTGTCAGTCCATAAAAATAGATCATTACGAATTTAAAAGAGCACAACAGTTCAAATACCTCGGTACTATTTTGACTGAAAAATATAATATAGCAAACGAGGTAGCAGCGAGAATTCAAGCTGGGAATAAATGTTACTTTGGACTCACTAAGATACTACATTCAAGAGTAATATCGCGAAGAATGAAAGAACAATTATATACGTCCCTGATACGACCGGTTATATTATATGGATCAGAAACATGGGCACTTAGAAAAATGGACGAACAGAGATTTATTACCTTTGAAAGAAAAGTATTACGGAAAATATATGGCCCAGTCAAGGCGAACTGGGGAGTGGAGACGAAGAAAGAATATAGTACTAGAAACACTATATAGTGGTCCGAATATATTGAAGATTATCAGAGGAAGAAGACTACGATGGGCCGGCCATGCTTGGAGGAACCAAAATCCACTTCTACATGCAGTGATTGAACAAAATCCTGTAGGTAAAAGACCTTTGGGAAGACCAAGAATGCGCTGGGAAGATGTTGTAAAAAAGGATGTTGAGCAGATGGGAAGTGTGTCCAATTGGAGGGATTTGGCAGTGGACAGAGAAGGCTGGAAGCTTGGTTGTGAGACGGGATGATCTTAAAGGCCCAATAAACCCAAGAAGAAGAAGAAGAAAACTATTCTTTATTAGTTTACCTTTTATTAGTCCAAAAGGGGGATTGAAAATGATAATTTTGAAAATGTTTCGGGTATATCTAAACTTCAAATATGTGTTAAATTAAAGTTTGTTAAATAATTAAGTAAAAAAAATATTTTCTAGACGACTTATATTCAATCGGCTGCCGTAGTTAAAAAATAATATTTATATGTTAAATTTTTCTACATTTAATTTTATATTTTTAATTTACTAAAATCACTCTAATAGGGAATAAGGGTGTGAACATAATTTTTAAATAATGTTTCATAACAATATAAAACAAGTTAAACATTAGAGTGGAGGTGAAGTGTTTATAATGTTATTTTTATCATTACGGATTACTCTACCACGTTCACTGTCCACTCTATATTTAAAAATGTTTTTAAACAATTTGGAAGTACTATTTCATAAATTATTTTCGAGGTCATTTTCTTAATTAGATAATTTTTTTTTAGTTAGTTAAATATGTTTTTTGATATTTATCATATTTATCATTCAAGAAATATATAAAGTTAAAAAATATAATATAAGGAACTTTTAAATAAAATCTTATTAGAAGGAAAAATTCCAAATGAATGGAGGAATAGTATTGTGGTGCCGATATTTAAAGGTAACATACAGAAGTGTGGAAATTATAGAGGCTTAAAGCTTATGAGTCATAGTATGAAAATTTGGGAAAAGGTAATAGATAAAAGAATAAGAAATGAAATATCGGAATCTAAAAACCAGTTTAGATTTATGCCTGGTAAGTCAACAATGGAGTCAGTATTTTGTTTGAGGCAACTAATAAAAGCTTAGGGAAAAGAAAAAAAAAGCTGTGTATGATTTTTATATATGAGATATTTAACTCATTACAAATTTAACTCTATGCATGTTGCTGTTCAACTCATTTATAAGATTTTAAGTTATTACTAATTGTTTTAGCCTAATTTAATAATATTTGAACTTTTAATTGTATTACTAGCTTTTTAAGAATAATTTAGTAATCATTTAAATTCATGCATGTTTGTTTTCTTAGTGATCAAATTCAACCATTTTACTTGTTAAAAATAAATAAAAAACTGTTGTCTTTAGTTAATTTTATATCTAGCTGTTGTCTATCAAATTTACCTTATATACAGTCCACTAAAAATATATTAAATAATTTGGTCATTTCACTTGTAATAGTGATTACAATTGTTTAATTGGAATTATAGCTTGACTTCAATCAAACGATTAAATTTAAATACTCAGTTAGTCTATCGGTTAATGTTTCTTATTTTTTTTACCTTTAATAATTCTTCCTAGTATTAAGGTAATGGTATTCGACATACTGGTGACATTAAATAAATAATATTTTGTTTTATCTACAAGGTATCAGCATATTACAGTCTGCAACAAGACTTTATATTTAGTCTATATCTATATATATATATATATAGTTTTATTCGATGAACCGCTTTATTTCATTAGTGTAAATTATTTAATTTAATTCTTGTTTATTTCTTTTAAAATCCACTTATGGTTCGGGTGTTGTTTTTATTATGATCGAAACCCTAGCCTAAGTGGTTGGCGACCCGATTTTTATTTGCAAGGGAGCAATCACAGTGGCGACTCCACAATCCGTTGCGTGATCCACGTCGTCACCTCTTAAAGTAAATAAGCTGACATATGTTCAATAGTAAAAACCTGTATCCCACTTGCAATATTTCCATCAAATATTTTAATTTTTAATATCAATATTATATTAATTAAACTTTTCTGTAAGTATAACCAATAAATAAATGTATGATTTACCGTTTATGTTTTTATTCCAATAATAATTAAACAATTAAGAAAAAAAAAATTCCAGTATTATATTTAAGATACGATATCATACGATTATTTTTGAATAACTGTTTAAATATTTAAAAAATTATAATTATTTAAATAAGAATGATGTAAATTATGTTAATAAAATATTAATGTAGGACAAAATTAATTTCATTACAGCATGAATTATTGAGTCTCTGTTTGTATTGGAGTTGGAGGTTATTCCTCTATTGCATCAAATTTCAACTATAAATTCAAGATCTAAACTCAAAAAATAATAATTTACAAGTCATTGAATTGATATTTTAATTAATATAAGTTATTCTAAATACCTGGTTCTTTTGGTTCCTTTGGTGTTGGTATAAATGTTTCTTCGGTAATTGGATCAAATTTAAATCCGAGGTGAAAATACTTTTCTCTAATTACTGTTTTTGTATAATCCTTGATTTTTTTGGTTAAGAATTTGATAAAAAATAATTTTTCATTTTGATCAATAAGGGCTTTATATTCCTGATACCAGTCTTCCCATAAACAATTCATATCATAAGGTACAAATTCACAGTAATTTTTAGTTACAATGTTTATTTCATACAATGTTCTATGACAACATACATATAAATTTTCTAACATGGAATAGTATATAGATCTATCATCACGTGATAGCTTTGGTTTATTTAAGTCGTCGAGAATATTTCCTATTTTTCCTAATAAAGGATTTACCAAATAGTAAGGTCTATCACTAGTAGTCCATGGCTTGTTATGTAATAAATCCAAAGCGTCCATAGATCCTTTCATCATTATTGCCATTGGAACAATTAATCTGGATATTATGTTTATGAGTTCTTCTGTGCAAATGAATCCATCTATTAAGACTTCTTCTTGTTTAATTCTTTCGTCACATATTTTTGTAACTATGCTTATAACAACAAAAAGATAATTCATAATTTTTGCGTATGAACATCCAAGATATATAGACAAAGCTCGTATTTTTTTATCACCATTTAAGATAGGTGTAGGTATTTTAATCAGATTTTGAAGATAATATGTAGTTTTACAATATTTTATAAAGTGCACATCATTTAAATTTTTCCACCCTGAATACGTAAGTAAAGTATCTAACTGATTTACATTTTTTTTTAAACTCCGAAGTGCTTTTGTATAAAAAATCACAGAAAATAGTAAAAAATAAAAATTGACAAGTCTTAATGAAAACATTAAATATAATAATAATAATGATGACAATTTTTTGATTAAAGTACAACTAGAAAGTGTTAAATGACACGTATGTTCTACATTTATAGAAAATAAAAATAACATATATACTTAAACATCTGTTGTATTATAATAATACACGTTTATTTTTATTTTTTAGAGTTAACGAAACATTTCCCACTTTATATTGAATAATATTCTACAAAATTTAAATCATTATACGATTATTATGTCTTATGCGATAAAAGAATTCCAATGAGGCTGATAGGTAAATTCTACAAGACTATAGTGAGGCCAGCTATGATGTATGGATCAGAGTGTTGGTCGGTTGATAAGAAAGTAGAGCAAAGATGAGAATGCTTAGATGGATGAATGGAGTGCCTAGAAAAGATAGAATAAGGAACGATGATATAAGAGGGAGTATAGGTGTAGCGTCAATCGTGTAAAAATGAGAGAAAATAAGCTTTAATGGTTTGGTCTTGTTATGAGGAGAGAAGAATCGGAAGCTGTAAGAACAGTTATAGAAATGAGTGTTGAAGGAAGAATAGGTAGAGGAAGACCAAAAAAGAGATGGAGAGATGTTATTGAATGCGATTTGAGGACAGCTGTTTTGAGCGTAGATGATGTGGGAGGATATGGATGGCCGACTCCAAGTAGTTGGGATTAAGATGATGAAGAAGAAAAAGAAGAGGAGAGACAGGAAAATAGTACGCATTACAGTTAACAAGTGTATAAAAATTTTTCGAGCAAAACCAATTGCGATGTAATAATCAGTCAGACAGTTATCAGTTGATTGACTATCCGCAAACCGGCCTGAGTGCATGGGCATTATGGTACCTTAATAATAACTAAAACTAAAACTACCTATCAATACTATGTTACCTGGGAACATGAAAAAAAGTAGAGGTTAAACGCTCAATTAGAGATAAAAAATCCCAATATATATGAACCATATTACTTAGTATTGTATTGAAATTGATATTATTATTATGCTGAAATTTTGTGATTATAATTTAGACTATCATTGTGTATGATACATAGTGCATTGTAATTATGTGGTATTTATATTGTTATTACTTTTATCATACACTTATTATTTTAAAATGTTTCATATGAATTGTATTTTAAATAAAAACTATAGTTTTAAGTTTAAACTTTCAAATTTTTTTAATTCAAATATTTCAAATTTACTGTTAATGTGCAATCAGCTGTATTATAATTGTAATAAACAAAAAGTAACTCAGGAGAAACGAGTGAGTGTGGGTATGTAGTCTTGTAATAAATAAAATGGCTATAATAA